TTTAACCTCCTGAGACCCCGCGTCCTCATATGAGGACATTACATTTTTGCTGTTCTGCCCCATGATACTTAATTTGTAAGAATTTTGACCAATTGTCCTCATCTGGGGGCCTTGCCTGCACCACCTAGTGGTCTCATAATGAAATTACACTCATTTGAAAAAAAACAGCATGGCGGGAATGACGGCGAAAATCTTCTACGGCAGCTCCCGACAGAAACATGGACAAGGTAAAAATCCTAATCGAATTTTATGATTGAAACTAGTTTTTTTATGCACAACAATGTCTCTAGCTTCACATAGCATGCTTATTTGATATATTTGAGTAATATTAGCAAGCTACAACGTCTGTAAACATGACGTACTTATTTGAGGACATCAGGTCTAGCTTCAGTGCAAAAACGTAAAATTTTTCCAAAAGCATTTGTGTTTACTTCTAGTCAAAATGTCTAATTTCTAGTCAAAATAAGTCTTATTACACTTAAAATAAGACTCATCCTCCAAAAAGAAATGTGTTTTTAGACAATCACCACTTGTTTCAAGTGAACTTTCACTAAAAAATAAGTAGAATAATTTGCCAGTGGAGCAAGTTTTTATTTCCTATTACAAGGAAATAGATTGTGCATTTTTATCATTACAGGGAGAATGTCCTTTTCGAGAACTGAACAATTGCTAAAAGCAATCGAAAATGACTCTGAGATTGAAGATTTGTCGGGTGGTGAAGAGGATGAAATCGCTCCATGTGAAGCAACTCTGGAGCAACCTGATAATTCTGATTCTGATTATCAACCTGATTCTGCTGACATAAGTGAAGATACTGACAGCGATGCGAGTGAGCCACAACATAAACAGCATCTTGAGAATGATGGTGAGACATAATCTAGTTCCCATGTTTTTGCTCTGTAGCACTTTATTTCGTTCAAAATGTTGAGTATTTTGCAAATAAAATGTATTGTATTTTTATTATAAGAACCTGACCAGGATGTGCAAGGTCACAGGCCAGGACCAAGAAATGTAAATAGAGAGTACTGGAAGTCTGCTCCATTCAACCCTGTCTTAGTCCAATTTCAAGGATCTGATGAACAACAAGACGAGAGAGCAGATATGTCGCCGGTGCAGTACATGGAACAGTACGTTGACATAGAACTGATGAAAGTCCTTGCCGACTGTACAAATTCTATGTCATTAGCTAAAAGTGGGAGATCTCTCAACACATCGATTGAAGAGATGTACCACTTTTTTGGAGCATCCATCTTGATGTCCTGCATCCCTTACCCACAAATCCGCATGTTCTGGTCCACTAACCTGAAAATCCCTGCCATTAGTGACACAATGAGACGCGACCGATTCTTCAAGCTGAGATTATTTGAGATTATCTAATTGGTTTTGTTTTTAGGTGTACCTAACTGGTACAGTCATGAAGAACAGGATCCCAAAAGCAATGCAGAAGCTTCCAAGTGACAAGATCATGAAGCAGCAAGGCAGAGGTACCTCCGCATCAGTTGTCAGGGGAGATGGGAAACTGAATGTTGTGAAATGGTTTGACAACAAGCCGGTCCTGATGCTCTCTGCTGTCCACGCTAAGGAGCCAGAGGATACCTGCCAGCGGTGGTCCAAGAAGGACAAATGCTACTTAACCATCAGACGACCAAATATTGTACAGGAGTACAATGCAAAGATGAGTGGGGTCGACTTATCAGACAGAATGATGAGCTACTACAGGATAAGCGTGCGAACTAAGAAGTGGACAATTCGCATGCTTATGCACTTTATGGATCTTGCTCTGGCCAACAGCTGGCTGCTGTATCGCAGAGATCATCAAGAACATGGTACCCCAAGAAAGGCTATCTTGACGTTCCTCGCGTTCCGCATGGACGTTGCTCAGGTATTCCTCAACAAGTGTGATGTCACACATGCAGAGGAAGAGAGTGCATGCTATCCACAACCTGGCCAAAGAGCCCTGGTCACGCCAATCCCCCACATCTCAGCGCGCACAACTTCTGCTGCTCATCTGCAAGTTGCTGATCTCAAGAACCCGATGCGTTGCAGACAACAAGGCTGCGCTGGGAAATCCCGTGTACGCTGTCTGACATGCAATGTGTTCCTTTGCCTGCAAAGTCGGCGCAACTGCTATGAAGCCTTTCACGGAGGCCAATAGGACTACTTGAATACTTGAATGTTTGTTTGAGTTTACTATGACATGTTCATAATGAAGTTCATAAACTTTGCACTTTTCCATGCAAAAGCTGCACTTTTATTTGCACTTTTGTGTTTGTTGGCAATATAAAATAAACTTTTGTACTTTATTAACCAATGGTGTCTTCATTGTGAAAGTCTGGACAGAAAGCAGCGTAAATGTACATACTGTGAAACACAGATGTAAATAATAACATTGATTGAATGGTCTTATCGTCACACAGATAGACCCAATGTCCTCATATGAGGACATTAGGTTTTGAGATAACCACTTATTGTAGAAAGCTAAAATTTCATTTTTAGGCTAATTGGGTCCTTATGATCCCAAATGGCAAGGAAAAAATGTATAGGTAAAAACAGACCCACTGTCCTCATATGAGGGCATTGGTTTTGACATAGTTCAAGAGCACATAGAAAGCTAAAATTTAATTTCAACTAAAATTAGGTCATACTAATCCCAAATAGTAAGGAGACATAAAAAATGCACATCAAACAAAAGCCCGGGTCTCAGGAGGNAAAAAAAAGGAATTTACTGACTTAAATTCCTACTTGTAAACCTTAACTCTGCACTATTAATTGTACGCTTCCAGTAAAAAAAGCAATAAGATCAAAAATGTAAAAGACGATAGTAATCTGGATGGGGTGGTGAGTTTAGGTGGGTTTGACTGAAGGAGCCAATGTGATCTACGACAGGAATGAACAATGAGCAGGCAGGGTTGGAACAGTCAGAACGAAGAATATAAAGTAATCACTGCAGAAAAAAGACCTGAGGCACAGAAAACCTAAAGTTAAAAGACTGAAAAAGAAAAAAAAAAGTTCAACAATCATTTTCTAAAGCTGAGGTCAATGTTTGAGTGTTGCCAGTCGGACATAACATGGACACCTGGCAAGACGGGGAGAGAAACCTGAAGAAAGTACTGCATGGTGATGAGATGATGGATAACAGCTGTGCATGAAAGCCACCAGGGAGTCAGGGTGAAAGCACACACACACACACACACACACACACGCACACACACACACACATACACACACACACACACACACACACACACACACACA